ATCAACACAATACTTCACTACTGCTGGTCTAAGCATGAGGTCTATCAATGAAAAGGATGATAATTGGGAGATGTGACAATGAATTCAGTGATTTCCGGATTTGGTATAAATAGTCCGGAATAGATGGATGAGATAGACGAATAGCCTCGATTTGAAATCATACATTCCTTATATTCGTCATAAACGTTATAGCAGAACCTGCACTATAAGTGATAAATGCTCATGCTCATGCAGATGCAGCACCCCATCCACCACCACCAGCAGTCATAATTACAAATCGGTCATGGGTGCCCACAGACACGGTATTCTTCCCGCCAACATTCACCTTGCGCTCCACCCCCGTCTCCTTGTCCATGGTAACCCACAGATTCAATCCCGGCTGCGCATCCTCGCCGCCCTCCAGCCCGTACGGCCGATGCACCCGTCGCTCCGAGAGGATAGAGCACTGCATCGGCGCGAGGAACTCAATCTCGCGAATCACGCCGTCCCCGCCGGGGTGCAGACCCTTGCCGCCCGATCCCGGACGCAGGCTAAACTGCCGCAGCAGCGTCGGGTACCGCTTCTCCAGGATCTCCGGGTCCGTGATCCGCGTGTTGGTCATGTGCACGTGTACCCCGGACTCGCCGTCCCAGGTTGGCCCCGCGCCGCTGCCTCCCGCGATGGTCTCGTAGTAGCCGAAGCCCGGGAGCGTCTCGCCGGTGTGCGGGTCGGTGCGCGCATTCGTGCCGAATGTGAGGTTGTTGCAGCAGCCCTGCGAGGCGGCGCAGGCGCGGAACGCCTTGAGCACGACGTCGGTGATGCGCTGCGAGGTGACGACGTTGCCGCCGACGACGGCGGCGGTCTTGGTTGGGGAGAGGATGCTGGGTGATGGGACGTGGATGTCGATCGGGGCCAGACAGCCTTGGTTGAGCGGCACGTCGGCGTTGATCATGCAGCGCAGGCAATAAATAATGGCCGAGTGGGTGATGGCGATCGGGGCGTTCCAGCCGCCGTAGACCTCCGGGCCGGTGCCGGCGAAGTCGAAGACGGCTGAGCCGTCCGAGTCGTTGATGGTGACCTTCAGCTTGATCGGGGTGCCGTCGTCCATGTAGTCGACTGCTTCCAGGGGTTGGCCGCCGAACTTCTTGTGGAGCCCCTTGAGGAGGTCGCGGACGGCCCTCTCGGCCGTGTGCTGGATGGCGTACATGTACTTCTGGACGGTCTCGACGCCGTACTCGGCGAAAAGAGCCTGGATCAAGGAGATACCGCGGGCGTTGGCAGCAATCTGCGCTTTCAGATCCGAGATGTTGTCGCTGACGCATCGTGCGCCCGAGCATCCTTCGTACTGAGCGGGTCCGTCAACCAGAAGTTCCATGATGCGTTTCTCGTCGAAGACGCCGTTGCTGACGATCTTGTCGCCCTCGATAGCTGCTCCTTCTTGCCACAGCTCGGTGGATTTGGGAGGCATCGATCCAGGAAGGATTCCTCCAATGTCCGCGTGATGGCCGCGAGACGCCACGTAGAACATGATCTCAGTGCCACCGGGGTGGTCAAAGACGGGGGTAATAACCTGGGATGTCAGTACATCAAACAACGGATGGAATAGTAGAGCGTACCGTGATGTCTGGCAAGTGAGTTCCACCACAACTAGGGTGGTTAGCGACAAGGACGTCGCCGTCTTTCAGATTTCCCAACCACTTCTGGTGTTGATACCGGACAGCAAATTGCATCGAGCCGAGGTGAACAGGAACATGAGGCGCATTGGCGACCAGCCCTCCATCAGGAGAGAACAACGCGCAGGAAAAGTCCAGGCGCTCCTTGATGTTGGTCGATACCGAGGTCTTCTGGAGCGTCCGGCCCATCTGCTCGGCAATGGACATGAAACGATGACCGAAGATGCTCAGTCGGATGGGATCAATGCTGGACGACTCATCGTTGGCGGCAGACGCATCGGTCTTGGTATCCTTGAGGTCAATTACGACGCACGTCTCCAGAATGCTTGCAACAGCGCTGGGTACGACAACAATGGTTTGTGTCTTGTCGATGATAATCGCAGGTCCATGTACACGAGTGCTCTTCTCGAGCTTATCGAGTAGATAAACTGGGGTGTCGATGCGGCTAGAGTGGCCATCAAAGTACGCCTTGGTGACATTATCAGGCGGGCCACTGACGTCTTTCAAAGACGCCTCCTTCAGCTGGACGAGTGGGCTCTTTTCCGTCCGCACTTTGGAAGAGGCGGTCGTACGCACGCGGATGTCATCAACGAGAACTGGTCGCTCTGAGTTGAAGCCGAATTCTCGGCGATGACGCTCTCGGAATTGGTCGAGGAAACCAGAGTCCTCCTCTGGCTTCAAGATCATCAGGCTGGTATCCGACCCTTCATATCGCATGTTAATGTACAGTTCGTGATGGACCTGCTCGGCACGGAAGCCTTGTGTCACCATTTCCTCGGTGGCAGCTTCGGTCATGGCGTCAAATCGCTTCTGCAGCGTCGACTGCGAGGCGTGGTAGTCAGCAGAGACCGGCTCCTGAGACTCCTTGACGACTTCAGCCAAGGCCAGACCGTAAGCGGACAGGACGGAGGAGTATTTGTGGATGATGATGCGGGAGATTCCAAGGGAGGCGGCAACGGAGCAGGCGTGCTGGCCACCAGCACCACCAAAGCAAGCCAGATGATGGGACGCCGTTTCATATCCGCGAGCCTCGGTCAGATTGCGAATAGGGCGAGCCATGGACTCATCCGCCACCTTCAAGAAACCCAAGGCGATTTCTTCCGCCGTGTACTCTGGCTGGCCCTTTTCTCTCCTTTCGGTGTTGATCTTGCCCGTGAGTTCGTTGAATAGCTTCGTAGTGGCTTCCAGGTCCAGTGGCTGGTCCTCGTTGGGACCGAAGATGTGTGGGAAGTATTCCGGCAGCAGGCGACCAAGGAACAGATTGGCGTCCGTCACAGTCAAAGGACCACCCTTGCGATAACAAGCCGGACCGGGGTGGGCCGACGCAGATTCGGGACCGACGTAGAACAGACCGTTCCGCCAGGTGAGGATGGAGCCTCCACCGGCTGCCACGGTGTTGATGTCGAGTTGAGGGGATTGAATGAGAACGCCCGCAACCTTGGACCCGAACACATGCTCCAGATGGCCGGCAAAGCGCGAAACGTCGGTGGATGTGCCGCCCATGTCGAAACCAATGACGGGAATCTTCTCCGTGGGATCATAGCTGGTGGCCGCGAAACCGACCACACCAGCAGCCGGACCAGACAGAATCGCCTTCAGCCCGCTGAATCGGCGAAAGTCAACCAGGCCACCGTCGGATTGCATAAATTCGAACCGACATTCTCGCTGCTGTTCCAGACCCCCTTCGAAGGCGGCCGAGATGGAATCAATATATGTTTTGATGACTGGGGTGAGGTACGCATCGGCTGCAGCCGACATCCCTCGAGGCACGACCTTGATCATGGGTTGTAACTTGGAAGACAGTGTGACGGAGAAGCCCATGCTCTCAGCCAGCTCGCCGATCAGGCGCTCGTGCTCTGGATATGCGTATGAATGAACAAGCGCCACGGACAATGACTGATACCCTTGCTCCTTCAGTCTCTGAAGCTCCACTCGAACGGCATCGAGATCCAGCTCCTGGACCACACGGAACTTCTCGCCGGTCACACCCTCGACAATGCGGGCGCCGGGGAAGCAGTCCTTGTCAGCAGACGGATGGCAGGGCACGACACGCTCATTCACCTCCACCACGCCTTCTGGCAAGACGCCAGGTCTGGCCATTGTCAAGTCAAAAATGTTTGGACGCGATTGATCGCCAATCTTCAAGAGATCTCGGAAGCCTTTTGTTGTGAAGAGCACGGATCGCGCACCTTTCCTTTCGAGCAAGGCATTTGTAGCAACTGTCGTCCCCATCCGCAAGCTGCCGATGCGGTCTAGCTTCAATGGCTGTCCTCGAGGGTGAGGCTCGCCAGTTACGAGCTCGAGGATCTGACGGACACCTTCCGTAGGGGCATCCTCATAGTGACCGGGATCGACGGAGAGCAGCTTGAGAATGATATCTGGACGACCAGGTACGATGGCATGCACATCGGTGAAAGTACCACCACGGTCGATGGAAATAGTGATCTTCCCTGATTCTTCCTCCATCGTGTTTGTGTATGAGTGCGGAGATGATGTAAGAGCTTCGAGAGGATGGAGGGGGGAAATATGGATTGCTAACTAAGTGAATGAGGGGTATCACCGATTTATAACATGCCACTCTAGATTCTGGGTAACACTACGCTCGTTCAATCTCCGACTTTAAAGGCCGAAAGAGACCATCACTGATAACGGCAACACATCACTGGTTCTCTGACTGGTTCTCCCCATCATTCGTACTGCATTCTCCGCACCTTCGCTCGCCCAGATCACGTGTCGGCCCGATGGTCGGCGCGTCGGGAGCAGCGGTCCGATGCTGCTGGACATTGGCAAGACGGAGAATATTGAGGATATTGAAGATGATGGTGATGAGTGAGATTAAAAAGGTATCAGTGATATTATTGGAGAGGTCCTATGGTCCTGCTGAAGGCTGTGCCTTGCACAAACTTGTGATGTGGTGATCAACGCTCAGATGATGTCTTATATGATGGAGTTTGTATAGTAAAGTGGAATGCCAGGTCTAATAACCTAGCTAATATATCTCAGGCTTATAAGTACAAAACTACCTGAGTTATTAAACTTAGCAAAGTATTTATATTCATAAACTAGAAAGATAAGTGACTACCCAAGACGTAGTGGCAAGGATATGGCCGAGGACGGGCCCTATGAAAGAGGGCGATAGTTGTTAGGCCAGAGCAGATATATATATGTAAGCCGGGCAAGCTTTGACTCTATGGTCAAATCATAGTACGTCTTTTGCCTGGTTGGATGGTAGCAGTATAGCTACTATTCACAAAGTAGATATCCAAGCAAGCAGAGGACCGTCAACTGGCGCCCACACCGGGTGAATGAAGCATATAACACTATACAGAAAATGCCAACTGTGCCATCTCAGGAGACGACCATAACGCCCTGTGGATTGTGGAAGATGTTTTCTGGATCCAAATCACCTTTCAGCTCTTCCAATCTTGGAAGGTTGCTACGCCAGTACGCCTGCTGGGCGTTGGGCATTCTGGGATCGGGACATCCGAGATATGCATGACCCGCGCTCTCAGGCACTGCTTGAGCCAGAACATCGTACATACCGTCTGCGAAACCATAAGTGGTCTGCGAGACTGGACCAAGCGGGTTGATTACGAAGATTTGAATCCAGAAAAGCACATCGCGGTGGCCGTATGCTGTGGCATCTTCAGGCACCGCATTGATAGCTCCACCCTCCAGACTGAGTGTGACAAACCAGGACACAGTTCCGGGGTTGTTCTCGTGGATGTAATTGAACAACTCATCAATCGCGGAATCGGGAATCAGGGCGCGAGGCGTAAACCCTAGGGACTTGGCATAAAACCAGGTCGGGGTGTTTCCGACCAATCTTAAAATGATATCTTCCAGTTCGTGACCAACCATCCCCAGCCAGTCCGTCAGAACAAGCACGTTGCTGGCCTCGCTGGGCGGAAACCTTTCCTCCAGGCCCAGCGCGTCGTACTCTGCTTTCGAGCCAAAGTAGAGACCTTCGAGAATGATCTGGCCGTCAAAGATGTTCATGTTGGAGTAGAACTTCCAGGTGAGGTTTTCCTGAGCTATGAATGCCTGCCAGTCTTTGACGAGCTGTGCCTTCTCGGCAGGAGTCCCCAGATTGAACGTATACGAATATTGGACGGCCAAGCCGGGCGCCTGTTCTGTGCGCACTTTGAACTCGGTGACTATCCCAAAGCTGGCAGCAGCACCTTTGATGGCGAAGAAGATATCCTGATTCTGAGTATCCGACGCACGCACAATACTCGAGTTTGCTAGCACGACCTCGACTTCCTCGACGTGGTCCAGCGCCAGACCCCACTGGCGCGCTGTCGGGCCCAATCCGCCCACCGTCAGGTGGCCGCCTGTCCGAATGGTCGGACAGATACCGTGGGCCATTGCTCTATGGCCCGCATTGTACAGCTCGGTGTCGAGGTCGCCTAGTGTGATTCCGGGTCCGATGGTCGCGATATAGGTCGACTCATCCATGGAGAATTGGGAGAAGTGCTTCATTTCGACCACGATGGCACCGTCCTCTCCACCAAGTCCTAGAACAGAGTACGAGTTAGTGGACTGTCAGAAGCTGCAAACTACCACCGTAACCAGTCATACATACCATAATTGCCGAAACTGTGTCCTCCACTGCGAGCCTGCACCTTGTAGCCATATTCAGAGGCGCATTTCACCACAGCAGCTATTTCCTCCGCTGATTGAGGGTATGTGATTGCCGCCGGAGTGACGGGGATATTCAAGTTGTATGGCTCGACTGCGGTAGCCTGGTACAACAGCTGATCTTGAAAAGCGACATGGGCGGCATTACCCCCAACGGCGGATATCAAACAGTCACGCCCGGCGGCGATACTGGTGGTATTGCCCATTGCGCAAGGCCGAAGTCAAAGACGTACTGCGCGGCACTGGGAGAAAACACATGGTCCCACGCGGGACTGGGCCCCTTTTTGAACTGCAGCCGTGTTGCCCAGGCGCATTACCAGGATGCCAATCCCTTGCTTGATCCGCCTTAGCAGGACAATAGTCCAACTGTTCTAGCGCATTGCGGTGCTGCGCCGAAAGTGCCCACTTCTTCAGCTCCAGTGTCTCCATCGACATGCGGTCTTTTGGAATCAAAATTAATAAGAAGATAGAAGGCGAATGCTAATCCCTCGCGCACAGGTCCCCATGAAGTAGACCTTTGTAGGCCTTTCTAAGGACACTCTTGTGGGGGAACTAGGCTGAAGTGGCTAGAGGCCCTAGCTAAAATAGTGCGGAAATAAGTGTCTTGGCCAGAAGAGGGGCAGTCAGGTAGGTATGGATTGGTGTTTGTTGATCATTATTACCAGTACTATGACTGGATAGGATAGGTCATCAACTGGTACACAGTGCACTGGTGTTTAGATTAGTACTAGAGTGAGGGACTTAACCCTCACTGACGTGGTCTCACATTTGAAAAAGCCTTTCCTTGTTGTACATGGCAACAAAAATGGTATGATTCCGACTGAAGATGCGCGTAGGATGGTTGACACTGCGGGATCATTGGACAAGCAGCTAAAGATTTTCACTGCTGGCGAAGGATGATCCTGATCCTGTCAGACAACTGATCGTCGATAGGTTCGCACAGAGGCTAGGCACGGTAGTTTTGAGGGCTTAGGGGATACGCGATATCAATAATTCATCGACCACTTATTGTTGATTATCTCGAACATGGTTCCTATTGCGATAGCACATAGGTAAAAAGAGGATAATGAGTTGGTCAGACTCCGTTGCTCTTGCATATTATAGCTGCGTCAATTTAGCTAACTATTTACTCAATCTTCATAATAATCTTCCCCTTGGAGGAGCCACTCTCAAGCAACTGATGCGCCTGAACAATCTGCTCAAAGGGAAAAACCCTCTCCACGAATACCTTGAATGTCTTATCACAGAGTTTCGGCAGCGCATTCGATACCAGCATATCCCGCAGCTTGCGCTGATACAGCTCATCCCGGCTACGCAGGCTAGGATTCCTGCTACGAAAGACCGGCCTCTGCGAGTATTCATGCAAAGCGCCGACGATATGTTCACTCGAGCCGAGGAGGTCGCAGAATGTGGTCTGTGGAGTTCCTCCCAGGATGAGTCCTAGCTCCACCTACGGCTGCTTTATAACTATTAGTTATATTCCCACCAGGTCCTTAGTGTCGAGGCCGTGTGATGCTGAGAAAATGTCAGCAGCCTGGTCATCAATCGTCTTGGGCTTCCGGCCTAGCAGCTGTTCCAAGGTAGGATCGAGGAAGGCCTTTTCACCAAGCGAAATGGCAGTGTGCCAGCTCGCCCAGTTCTCAAGGAAGCTGGCTTGCTCCGGTGGCACACTCCCATTCTTGACGTGCCAAGCGATGGCCTCCTCAACAGGCAAGACGCGAACATTGACCTTCCTGCCGGTATGCTTCATGTACTTCTTGATGATGTCGACCCCAGTCAAGAGCTCGGGACCAGTAAAATTCAGGGTTCTGTTGATGTAGTTTTGCTACAATTAAGGGTCAGCCCACAGCCAGGTCTCCCGTGTGTGTGCAAAAACAAACACATACCCAGTTCGCGATGACCCTCGCGGTGGCCTCGCCCAGCTCAGCCCTGTTCGCCCAGTGCTCCAGGCCGTCATTGGGCAGCACAGCTTCCTGAACGACGTCGGGAGCGGCATCCAGCTTCAGAAACCCGGCATAGTTGTTCCATAGGTGCGAGTAGGACGCCATACGAAGGATCGTGTAGGTCATCCCGCTGTCCTTTAGGTAGCGTTCGGTCAGGAGGTGGGCCTGCGCGACCTGCGCGACGCTCGTGTTGCCTTCAGCTCCACCACAGAATGAGAGCGAGGTGTAGATGATGTGGCGAACGCCTGCGGCCTTGGCGGCGTCGATGGCATTCCGGTGCAGCTTGTAGCGTTCCTCGCCCATGGAAGGGAACGACACCAAGAACAACACCTCCGCGCCGGAGTACGACTCCACCAGCGTCGACGGCTCGTACAGGTTACCCTTGCGGATCTCAATCCCGGTTTCACGGACGGCGGTCGGGATGGCAGCCGTATTGTAGGCCGAAATGCGCAGCTCTGAGACCGGGACCAGCTTCTCTGAGAGGAGCGTCTGGAGAGCGGCGCGGCCTATCCCGCCGGTAGAACCTGGAGAACCCTAGTTAGTCCATTGTTCGAAAGACGGCATGCCACATATTTTCATACCTGTAAGAACAATCATGAACAGACAAGACTCAGTTAGTTGCTAGAAGCAGGTGGAATTGTGAAAGGATGACTTGAATTATGGTCCGAGCAGACCAAAGACCAGCATTTCCCACCATCTTAGATGTATCTTATAGAAGCAGAACCTGGTGATTCACTGATTCCGGCCTTAGCCAATGACGTCAATATCATAGGTGCTGAGTAATGGAGAAAAGATAGCCATATTATAGAGCTGGGACAGCAAGACTAGAAGTCGGGCCGATCATTAATCACTTTGCGGTCAATATTTGGCACTTTTCGGTGCGACCCTTGGTCACTATAGCGGACCGGATTCATAAGCAGCTGACAAAGTCGCCTTGAAAAACTACCTGACTAATATTAAATTTGTCTCCGAGTCAATCTGATCGCACAGAAGTACTGTCAGCGAGCTGTTATTTGTCAGCGAGATCTAAGAAAGTACCAGGAATCAGGACCTGAGGGACCCCTGAGAGCAAAGAAGTCAGCGATATGCTGGCAGAACACGGACCACTCGATATAGCACGCGCTCTTGAAATCCAAGTTCACTTAATGCAAACCCTTCCCAGCTGACGGGATGTCTGCACCTTCTTGCAATTGCTTTGGTTTCATCTGCGTCAGGTTCCCACAGCAGAACAACAAGCGCCGAAACAGGTGGAATCGTGGACGAACGAAATTCAAAAGTTACAGAGGTTAAAAATAGAAAGCCGAACCCAGTCAAAGAGAAAAAGAGGACAAAGGAGCTTCAAGGGTTTATCAAACAAGCCTTAGGGCCCAATCAGTCATCTAATGCATACGACAATGCTAATCAGGATGGAGGAAACGAGACAAACCCAACCACTACTAGCAATAGTGACACAATTGATGGTGCTGAGTTTTCCAGAACCTCCAACTCCAACAATTCACATGATAAGGCAAAAAACGATGGAGCAAATGACAGTGCCTTTGGTTCATCAGATGGAGCTAAAGAGTCCAGTCAATCAGCTGAGAAGACTGCCCCCAAACGGAAAATTTCGCAACAGGGAAACCCTCCGTGGCGTCTTCAGATGTTCCCCTGATATCTTTAATGTACACTGAGAAAGACGGAATTCCCAAAGGGTATCTAAATGCAACTCGTGGACAGGTTGCCGCCGAACAACATTGCAAACTATGTATTGCGCGCAACCTTGATAGAAGAGTCCTAATTGTGAAAACGATTGAATCAGTCTTGCCTTCTCAGAGTATTCTCAATCCAGTCAGTGTCCATATCAATATCGATCTGACCAAGGACCTCTTCCCACAATCCTGGGTCGTCATTGATATCAAGATTAAACGTGATATGCTGCTGGGATGGCCAGTCTGACGGACCGACCCTTGTATCATCGCGTCTTATAACAGTGGTCTCAGGAGGGCTACGCTGCTGACTGATGGTAGGTGTCACAGGAGCATTGAAATCAACCCGTCCCTCGGCCACTTGATTGGATCCAATCGAGGCCTGAAGTTCTAGCAGCAAGGAGTGACGAGACCCGAGATAGGTATTCCCTCGATCAGCCATGCTGCGCAACAGACTCAGTGCCATATCCATTGTTCTGGCATTGGTCTCATTGTGCGGAAAGGCCGCATTGACCATGACCAGCAACAGAGCGGCAGAGAAGATGTATTCGCCATCCAAGTAGCCATAGGTTGCTATGGTTCACAATGAGAATCAAGTTGGGCTTGAGAGGGAAGATCCGAGAACGTACCGACTAGATTGTGCCTGGCTGCAGCATCCATGATGAGCGTCGTGGCTCGAGCCGCGGTGATGCAGCTCTCAATGACGGCAACTGTGTTTTGCGACAAGCCTTCTTTCCAGTCATTTGCAGCAGGCCCTCCAGTCTCTGCATCCAGGCGCCTCTGGATCACATAGAACACCAGAGGTCTGGCAGTCATGTTGATGCAAGAATAAAAGTGAAGGAATATGGAGACTGATTCGCGATTGATATGCGTGTCTAGCGTGGTAAAGTCGATGCGTAAGCGATCTGGCACTTGTCGCAGCCAGTCAGACAGGTCATTTGTAATGCTCTGTACGGATGCCAGGAGATTAGACCCGGATCGAGGCTTCTTGCGGTAGATCTCTGTGACGCATGTCAGCATGGCTATTGAATAGCCTAGTTTGAGGAGCTCACCTTCTCCAATTCTGCCTAGAATGCGAGACAGTTGGGTGTAATGAGTGAGAACGACAGATGGCCACGGAGCCGCCGTAGAGCCGCCCTGCAGAAGGTTAGCAAAGAGTCATCATTCCCAAACGGAAAAGAGAAAAGGTAGAGAGGATGGTTTATACTTCAGGTATCGGCCACATTGTCCCAATGTCTTCATCTTGAATAGTGATTGGATTCCCGGACTTGACAGAAAGTAACCTGTAAATGTCAGTAATGTCGTTCCGAGAAGATGCATACAGCAGTACCTGTCAAGACTATACACAGACCACCAGGCTCGCCGTCGTCGATAGCGATCTGCATCACTGACATCCGGATGCGACACCTCCTGATGGAGTCCTAATGAGATAGCCATGCGAAGAGCGAGGCCAATCTACAATTTATGTCAGCGGCCCACAACGACATTGTACAAATGGAATGCGTACGTATAGAAAAGCAGCATCACGGCGGTTCAGATTCTGCATGTAATAAGCGACATAACACAAGACCTCGACGAAGAATATCGAGCCTTCCTCATGAATGTCTGGCAGAAAACGCAAGGCATGCTTAAAGTACTTGAAGCCAGGCGGGCCATCGTCTCCGGACCACTGGTTCACTGAATACATCAGCCCGTAGGCAATGACAAGCAGGACTTGGCAATAAACAAGGCATGACTCTCGGTTTGAGAAGTCAGGAGGCTGATGATAGACGATGTTGACTCGTTCTTCAAAGTCCTCAGGCTGAATCAGGGAAAAGATAGTTCCGATGTAGGTATATTGCACCCAGAACAATCGCTTGGCGAATTCGAACGGTGGCAGCTGTGGGAGAGCCCGATTGACGGAACGGTGTAGAGACGAAGGATCATCGTACAGAGGACGCACGTCCCATGCGAGATTGGACGATGAAGGATGCAGTCGCTTGGCCAGTGCGACCGCCGCAGCAGGGCCAACATAGTCTGAGAGTGGTTAGCTGATATTATGGATGATGCAATCTATTGACATACGATGTTCTCCTGATCGATTTAAGAAAAGATTATCCGTTCCATTATACCACCAGTCGTCTCGGTTAGGCGGAGTGCTCTCACTCGCGTTGCTATAGGGGGTAGGTTGGCTTGGAGTGGAGTGTGATGACAGAGGTGGAAGACTGTGGTCCGACCCTTGCCTTGCAGCTCTAGCTTGCGATTGAAGCTGACGCAGGTAGCTGGTTTCGGTGCAACTGCGGTTAGCGCATTGCGCCTTCCAGGCGATTATTCCTTTATATCTCCGCTCCCCTCCTGGTCCGCGTAGTCTTGCTCACCTTTCAGGTACCGACACGCGTTTCTCAGCTTCAGAATATACACATATATGTCCCGCATCCTCACATGCAGCACAGGGATAGGGTGGGGTGCCGGCACATCGTGTCTTTCTGCCCCGACATCGATTGCATCTGCCATAGTCGTCAGCAGGTCTCTGCAGAACATCTGGTCAACATCACGCACGCTATAACTGAACGCGTATTTCCCGACCTGTCTATTGATCGGCTCTGCAATCCACTTCGAGCTTTCCCTTGCGCCATTGGGAAGTACTGGTGGCTGTCAAAGACAGAACATAATTATACTGACTGCCTCCTGCCGTTGGGAGAACTGGCTCCCAATAGAGTTGATCTTATTCGATTGCCCTTTCATTCACAGCAGAGACATTAACAGCCCAGTAGTGAGCTCAAGGACTCAATTATGTATGCGACTGAGGTTGACGACAACTATGCGTTGTTTGCCGAATGTCGTCTCATGACCCCACGAATCTCTCCTCTCCGGATCGGCTGTTTTTAACAGTTTTATCTCGTTGGACACTCACACTGCTGACCTTGAGGCTGAGATCCTGCTCGTATTTGGCAATCCTTGCAGATATTTTCCCCCCAGGAATCAATGAGATCTTCTCCAGATTCCCCGCATTAACCTGGTGGCTGCTTGTGGTGTCCCTCACCGTGGTAGCTGATAAGCCGTCGGCCCGATGGAGAATGGGGGCACGAGTCGCACGACCAATCGAGTTGGAGCTGGAGATGGACATGACCTTTAACACACAGAACAATCCGATAAGACAAAAAGAAAAAGTTGACCAATAACGTAGTACCTAGGCTTACTTTGAGGCTCCGAGAATTGAAAGCCGTTGTTGGGGACAAATGAGCCACTGCCCTTTCCCGGTTATTTTTCTCGGTTCGGGATATCGCGGTTAAGAAACAAGGATGTGCTGTCTTGGTGAGTCGTTTCCCCGACCTCCAAAGCCGGCTCCTTACTGATTTCTCAAAGGAGAAAAAAATTCACAGTTATGATTCAAGCTCTATTTCGAAAGATGTCCTAGGCAAATGGCTGTGCTTGCGGTTTTCATATTGATTCTCTGCGTGTTCGGCGGCATCCTGTGGAACTACACGCGGCTAAACTCAATTCCCGGCCCATTGCTTGCGGGCCTGTCTGATATTTGGTGGGAGTGTCTCAAATCATCACCACGATATGCTTATCGTTTGGAGCGTCTTCATCGCAGATATGGTGAGGTAGTTCGCGTAGGGCCGAAGACGGTCAGCGTCTCTGACCCCTCCGCCGTTTTCCGGTCGGATGCCGCTTGTTCACGAAGGTCGCAGGTATTTATCACTCTCTCCAAGAAGATGGACTACATGCTGAGATTTACCGAGTCGTTCCTTGATAGTTATGTGGAGGAACCAGAAGGAGTGATTGTGAATGCTCGACTCAAAAGCAGTGGACATGTTTACCCAGACAAGCAGAGAGACCACGCATTTAAACATCATGATAAAATCAAGGACCTTGTTCTCGACTTCCTCAGAGCGATTCGAAAACAACGTACCTTGAAACTGGCTGTGTTCCGAAGCTTCGCGACAGACATTGTTGGACGCATGTTTGTGGACGACCTTGACAATGACCGAGCAGCACCCACGGGTACCGGGCCAAACCACACGGATCCATGCCGATTTACAACATCTCTGGACCATATTATGTTCAAGAGCCCAGTTGCCAAACTAAAGCGCAAACGAAACAAGAGCCTAAGATGGGTTGCTTGCGCAGGGACCTATTCCGGGTGGAACGATGTGTCTACCTTTGACGTTTTGCCGGAGACAGGCAGAGGAATATTCCCGTGGGCAGAAATCCGTGAATACGGCGATCGGCACGCCTCTCTGAGTATAAAGCAAGCGGACTGCATGATCGATGCCTTTGTTTCAGTGTTTCTCCATTTGATCAAGTGCCCCACGGCTATGTCTCAGCTCCAGCACGAGCTAGACAGCGCATTTCGCAAGGTGGCCTTATCCGATATTCTTCAGCAAGAAATGGAGTCACACGCCCTACCAATCCTGGATGCTGTCATGAAAGAATCGATGCGACTTGCCATGGGATTTGATTATCGAAGAGATGTTCCTGCGGGGGGTGTAGTAGCCTTGGGACATGACCTTCCCGAAGGAACGGTCGTTCGATTTCATTCAGAGTCTATAAGAAACAATCATGCCATCTATGGAGAAGACGTCAGCTCTTTTCGGCCACACAGATGGCTACAGGCAGACTTGGATCAACGGCAACGGAAACGGATGGAGGAAGGATTGTTGGTTCTTCGACCAAATTTGCCAAATGCCACGAAAGCTCGAGCTGCCTGGCTGGAATTGAAGCGAGCTGTTGCTCTGGTCATCTGGAAGTTTGATGTAAGTGCAGTTGACGGTTTGTAGAGGTCCAGACTAAAATATCTTAGCTGCATCGTATCAATAATGACGAGGTGTCCATCCAAGATGCCGCTTCTCCGGAGCATGAATACAATATCTTGTTGAACTTTACTCCTAGAATGCATTAATTCGGAATATGCCGAAAATGAACAATTGTCAGACATCCTCATTAAATAAAGTTGTCGCTGGAACACAAGACAAACACAAGACAAAGCTACGGACACGCCCAAGGAGTTCTATAGACGCTCACTCCCCCTTCACTAGTCCCAGCTTCTCATTTTCGGCCTTGCTTCGCTGACTCCATGCCGGAGCCTCATCTTCGCCCCTTTCTTCCTGTGCATCTCCTTCTGCCTTGGTCTGGTGCACAGTACTCGGATAATGCTCGGCAGGCGCATAAACTGTCACCACTTCCAAGGGAACGTCGCCGATGTTAAGGAACTGGTGCTGAGTACCTGCAGGAACGATGATCACGTCGCCCTCCTTGATCTCCTGCTCCTTTCCAGCGACGATCGCCTTTCCCTTGCCGTGTGTGAAGATGAGTGTTTGGTCGACAGTGTGAATCTAATGGACCATTAGTTTTCACCAAGCCATCAATGAATGCAAAGACGAACCTCGTCGCCAATCTCGCCATCCACTGGTACTTCCATGGCAACGAACTGGGAGTACAGCCCTGTATGTAGGACTTTGCGGAACACGCCAAACTTCCGATTGGGCGACATTACGCCGGGAAGATAGACTATTTCGTTCTGGGGTGGCTTATCAGCCGTATTGCTGTTGAATTTGTCAAAATTGGACATTTTTGCGACGTTCTGGTGGAAGCCTTGGTGGGGGTTGTTCCTGCAGTAGATGCTGAATGGGATGGGCACTGTGTTTAGGCCAGAGCGAGTTGCGCGAGTAATGCCAAATTGTCGCCGAAGCAAACGCAGTCCTCGATGCATTTTATAGTAATCAGCTGTATGCAGAGATCGGATGTCATCCTTGACACCGGCGTATCTTATACCAGCGTCTAGACTTGTTGACACGAGACAATGGTGACGTAAGGAGCAGATTCTTGATGCGTTCATCTGCACCTACAAACAGGAACCGATCCGATGATGTATAAGCTTTAATTGATGATTGAATGATCTGATCGCTTGATATTGCATCAATGGACGAAGAACGTCGGATGGTGGTGAAGAGTCTAGAATGCAATGTGCCACCGCTTTTAAAACCAAAGCTTGTTCTACTCATGCCCCCATCTACATCCCCATCCCATCCTCTTCAAATTTCGGCATGAGATCTTCCCCAGGATGCATCAGTTGCTCCGTATCTGTAACATTCCTCCCGTCAACACCCTCCAATCTCTTCTCGAGCTTTTCCCGCATCCAGCCAGGAAAGATATTCAGCGCTTCTGCGATTTCATCTGGGCTTAGAGCTCGATAGCTTATCACCTTGCCATCTTTATCGACGTTTCGCCACACTCCTAAGGTCCATGCCGAGATGGGAGAAGCCCAGGGGGTCTTTTGGTAGATCGCTCAGGGTGGATAATAGGACTGATTTAGCTGCGCAGGTGGATCCATCTCCCTGTAGGTGTAGAAGTATAAGTCTAATGTAGTTTTTGAATAGGGAGATAGGGACAGGGTCAAAGTACCATGTCAGCCACGGTTTCTTCTGATGCTTCCATGGGATTATCTTTGGTGTTCAGGAAAGATACGGATCAGAGGGATAGAAGCCTGGACAACCAATGTTCGGTCAAATGATGGGCAGTCTGACGGTCTATATGTTACTTACTCATGTAGAGTGACAGGTCCCTACTTTGAGAGAGGCCATTACTAATGTAAGTGACGAGAGAAATTTAGGCAACAGGCACCTAACGAAACCGAGGGAATGATTGGCGGGAGTTGATTATATGTCCTAGAACTTAGGCTGTCTGATTTGTGATCTGGCCAACAGCCTACAAGGATCATTAATCTGAGAAACTCAGGCGTGAATCAATCACGGTGGTTCAAGTCATAGACAAACCGATAATCCAAGCACATTAGCATAAAAGAGCGCCGAAACAAGAAACACAGAGACAAAGGTTGAACTATCAAGTCAAAGTAGGAACTTGCCAGTTCACCCACGGCTTGCTATCAAACGCAATCCCCGCATAATTCTTCTGCACCGTGGTATTAACATCCATCCCCAGCAAGAACCGATTGACAAACGCAAACAGGTCATCCCGCTGCTGATCCGGGAACGAGCAATGCGGGTGGTTCATAGACATAGAGTACCCCATACGATCCGGCACCCCCATCGCCTGCCAGATCAGCCTCGCCGTCCCCATACACCCCAGCGACGACCACGGCCCCAGCCACTGATACCCCGCATTGTCGACGGACAGTAGACCGCGCGGAGCAATCAGCCCAGCCAGCATATGGTGGTCAAACGGGAGACGGTCAACACTATTCGCATATGCATTGAACGCAGTCGAGAACCAGACATTCTCCTGGACGATCTCCCCGGCCGTCTGCACGTTCTGCGGCGCGCCTTCTGACGCCTGCGCCAGCCGCCAGCATCCCGATCCCCCCGTGCCTGACTCCTGCGGTACGGTGAGTGCAATCCGCGAATCGAATGCACCGGCCACCAGCGCCCCCTTGCCGTTCCGCGAGCACCCCGTCACCCCGATTCGGGCGGTGTTGATTTTCGCGGCGGGGGTGGCCTCCAGACGGTCGATGATGCGCGATGTGGCCCATGCCCAGGCCATCATTGCGCCGGCGGGGTGGTTGGCGCCATACAAGGTATAGAAGAGGCCCTTGCCGCGGCTGCTTTGGTCGTTTTGCTGGGCGATCTGGCTGTTGTCGAAGGTGATGGTTGCGACTCCAGGTGGGAGGGGGATGCTTAGCCCCCCGTAGGCGATCATCGCGGGGTAGGGTGGTGCTCCTGAGCCAGAGGGATAGGTTATGGTTGCTGTGAAGGAGATGGTACTCCTAGCATTGGAGGCGGTGATGGTCAGTATGTTTTGGCTGAAGGTAGAGGTTACGCTGGAGGGAGCGGGAGGCTTGGTGCCTAGTTCGAGCTGCTGGAGGAGTGTGCTAATGTGGCTCTGGCGGCATTGCCAGTCGGAGAGTGTGGTAACACGACCGGACTGCGGCAGTGGATACCACGAGAAGGGATCGGGGAGTGTCGTGATGGACTGCAGCTGGGGGGATGAAGGGAGACTGGTGCAGTTGGCAGCCAGGGCTGCAAGGTCAGTATAGTAACTGAAGAGAGAAGGGTAACTTACCTCCACTGGAGAGGAGGGAAAGCAGGACAGGGTAGAGGAACATCATTGTTGTCGTGCTGGGCTGGTGAACTGCTCGATAACCACAGTTATCCCCCGGTTTATATGCTCGAGATGGCATTCTTCCGATGAGCCGATGAGCCTATACAAGGTTTCAGTACCGACATGATTAGGCTAATATCTATGTTACATCGATGATCTACATGATCTTGTGATCGTATTCCGCAAGGATCGTGGAAAAATGCATACATTTAGCATATATACTCCGAATGCACGGATTCAGTAATGGCAAGGTCAATGGTACGTCGACGGAACCAGCGAGTTGGCCCACACCTCCAGATATGTATAGCCACTACTATGCAGTTTCATAGAATCATTGGTGTTTGGATCCGTTCCCAGCTGCTTCTCTGCTGCATCAGGAATTCCGTCCCCATCAGTGTCCGTCGCAGGAGTGCCTCCTTTCAGAGTACCTGGCCCTCCCATAGTAGCTTCATCGGAGATCAGAGCACCCTCTGTGCCCCAAGACTGTACTTGCGCGATCAACTGCGTGTCGACACTATCCCTGACCTTGGATGCTCCAGCATCTGTCGAGTTGAATTAGCTGATGCACCTCGGACGAGGACGAACTCACATTTGGTCACGTAGGTCACGGCCTCAGCCGGGGTCATGGTATAGGCCACCGCTGGGTAGTTATATTTGGTCGACACGATTGCCATGCCACCGTAATTAGACGACGACACGCCGAGTTCAGAGCCGTCCAGTTGCCCATCCTGGTCTGCATCGTAGTAGTTGTTGTCGACGTATCCGTGGAAGTTTGCGTTGCCACGGGTAAACGCCGTCACCGATGTCGAGGGACCACTGATAAAGTAATTGCCAATGATATTGGCGTCTAACAATTAGCTGATGCCAACGAAGAGGAAGAGGTCCATACAAGATTGACCATCAGAGTCTCCAGCAATGTATCCTCCGCCGCCGCCCCAGTTGTACACAACGTTGTTGGTAAACTCGTTCACGCCCTTGACCTTGGGATTGCGCGTCTTATTATCAATGTACAGGTTGCGGAACAAGGAAACACCACCGTCGGTCTGTATCAATCCACCGCAGGAATGGGTCTCCAGCCCCTGAGCAATGATGCTGTTTTGCACGGTAATGTTGCTACCTGTTCCACTGATGGAGAAGGTCTCGTCGCGTCCCCACGAGACCGAAACGTGGTCGAAAATCATCCTATTTCCTTCGGCGATGGTGATGGCGTCCTTGCCTGAAGTGCCGCCCTTACCCATGCGACTAGAGAATGTCAGTAAGTAACCCAATATAATGGTCTGCGGAGAAGGGTAAGACATACATGCGAATATATCGCACAATCGCATCATCCGCGTTAGAAAAAGACCATCCATTTCCATAAACTGTGATGCCGTCTCCAGGCGCCGTCTGTTCCAGTATGGTCACGCGCTTCGAAACCACGATTCGATCGAAGATCTTAATCACGCCTCCGACTGCAAAGACAACGATGCGATCAGTCGCAGAAACAGCATCCCGGAGTGAGCCTGCTCCGGTATCGTTCAGATTGGTAACGACGTAGACTTGGCCATTGCGGCCGCCGATCGCATTGACGCCAAAGCCTTCGGCGCCAGGGAATGCGACCAGCGCCGTGACAACTTGAGAGAAAGCAGCTAAACTGACGAGAAGAGGTGCAGATAGCTTCATATTGAAGGTATGGTATGCGAAGGCTGCAAAAAGAAAGAGGAGCCATTTTCTGTTTATATACAGGAGTTGCAGACACGAAAGGAATAAAAACACCAAGCATGATTGCTGCAAAAATTACCGCGTGCCAAGTCAACGCCGTCAACCTGGCGAACCTGCAGGGTCCGAGGTAGATTAAAAAGGTTT